TAGGAACAAAATATTGCCAGTGTCATAGGATCTACCTGCATGCCATTTCATATCTCTTTTTCTCTGCATAAGAGTTACCTTTTCGTGAAACGTATTCTGTAGCTTTTAATTACCATTTCACCACCAAAGTGTACATCCATTGGCAATATAAGGTTTGCATTTCCTTTCAATGTCTACCTAAATGGAGTCAAACTGTATACACGTTTTGAGCTATGTATATTTTCACTCAATATAGTTTTTGAGATTTATCCACCTTGTTCCATATAGTTTTGATTTATTTTCATTGCTGTAGAGTAGTATTCAACAAGAGAAGTGAACCTCAATCTATTTATATATTCTATTATTCATGTTACTAGTAGCCCTGCGCATGAATCCGTGCTGCTTGTCTCAGCTGGCCACCCCGCCACAGCCACTGGTAGCTCTCCACGGCTCATAGCTTGTTGCCCTCCTGCCCTCCTCTAGCTCTCTGCCCGCTGCCGCTTGTAGATCGGTCATGATGTTATGGCGCCCCGACTAATTTGCATTCCTCTATTATTATATTAAATTGTTAACATAAATATGTTATTATTATTTATTTAAAATTAAATTTATTTGGGTGACATTAGTTTGCTTTCAACAGCCCCTGTTTGCCTAAGCCTCAATATGCTTGTCTCTCCTCCGGCATACTTTGTTCTTCTTTATTGCTATTAAAAATAGACTCACTTTTATTGTAGTAGGTTAAAGGGAGTTTTTTGTTGTAATGGTCAACCACAACCCTAGGCAGACTGCATTCTTGAGCCTCAAAATTGGAGCTTTATGAGAATCCCTGCCTCCTCCCCGCCACACACACATGTGCCTTTTATTTGCAGTCCTATATAGGAGAGTTTTCCTCACCTCCTTCCAGTGGTACCTGATCTCTGATTGGTATCCATATAGGATCCAGGAACCAAGACAGTCTCCTACCCCTTCCAGGAATAAAAGGTTTTTGTTTCTATTCTCTCATTAGCAAAGGATCCTCAGCCATGTCTACCTCTTCCTCAGAGGCACACTGCTTTTTTTTCCTCTTCCTCTCCCCACAAAGCAAGACTAAGTTAATAATGAAGTAGATCCTCTGGCAGCTGTGCCAGGATGCTGGTTCATAGTCAGGTCACACATAAATAAAACAGCTGGCTTTTTTCATGTGAATCACTCATAAGTTATTCTTTCCCATGTTATAATTGAGTGGTTGTATTGTCTTAATCTGTGAACAACAAAATGTATCCCAATTAAATCACATCCTCTTACTTTAAGCTCATTCATTGAGTATGTTAACATTTTTGGAATTCTGATTGTGTCTTTCACAGTATTAAGTAGCTATTCTTCCTAGTTTTCTGTCATCCATTTTCAGTGTTTATAAAGTCATATATAAGGGAGACTGGCGACATGTAAAAAAATGTTTTTCCACAAAATAAGCAACATGGTATTTCTTAATATAATATCCATTTTGTGTACATGTATTGATAATGTTTTGATAAGGAAATGATCCAGAATTATCAGAGTTAAAATCTTTTAGGGGAGTTGGGAATCCATGTATCTGCGTGAAAACAGAAAGGAAAAATATTTTCCCACCTGTTTTGAATAAACTGTCCTAATCCTCCATTGAGATTACTGTGATGCTGGTGACTAAGTTGACATGTTTTAAAAAGCCACCATCATTAATGATATAGACAGAGTACATAAAAATACTGTAGCGGGAAAGGTGAATTAACATAGATTTAATGAAGAAAATAACTCTTAACATTGCTACTGGTAATAGACAGAAAGGAATAACACCAAAAGAGAACAGATTTTTAAAAAATGGAAGTTAATTTAAAAACATATGAAAAATGAGAAATAAAAAGACTAATGAAAGGCTCCTGTAAGTGTGACCATAAAAATCTGTGTATTACTGTCTTTAGTGCAGCCAGCAATTTTGATTTTACAAAGAGTTTGTCATAACTGAAGACTATATTTGTCACTGGTAATTTTTTGAAACATCAATTGTTTGAAGAATAGTATAATCTAACTAGAGGCCCAGTGCACGAAATTCATGCACTGGAGGCAGGGGGGCCCCTCAGGCTGGCCTGTGCCCTCTTGCAGTCCGGGACCCCTCAGGGGATGTCCGACTGCTGGCTTAGGCCTGATCCCTGCAGGTATAGGGCCTAAGCCAGCAGTTGGACATCCTTCTCACAGTTGGATACCCTTGCTACTTATCACCCGCCTGCTCACTGCTCCTTACTGCTGGGCTCGCTGCTCCTTAGTACTGCCATGGAGGCAGGAGAGGTTCCCCCTACTGCTGCTGCGCTTGCCAGCTATGAGCCCGGCTTCTGGCCAAGCAGCACTGCCCCTGTGGGAGGGCACTGACCACTAGGGGACAGCTTCTGCATTGAGCATCTGCCCCCTGGTGGTCAGTGCACATCATAGCAACCAGTCGTTCTGGTCATTCCACCATAATGGTCACTTAGGCTTTTATTATATATATGATTATCAAACAATCCAGCACCAAACTTCTTTGTCCCAAGTTTGTTCTGAACACTGAATATGATTTTTAATAATTTTGCCCTCCTCTACACTGGTTACAAAACAGATGCATTCCAAAACTGTTCATGGGTCTGCTGCCAGTTGCCTTGTTTTCAAAGTATTTTGCATAAACCAAACATACTCTGTCTCTCCCTCCCTTCTTCTTCTTCCCTTCCTCCTTGCCATCTCCCCCTCTCCCTCTCTCCAATTTTAAGATAACTAGAGGCCTGGTGCACAGACTTGTACACATTGAAAGGAAATTAATTAGAAGGTGGCTGGCAGGGCAGGACTGGGCAAGACAGGCTGGACATGCCCTCAAGCCAACCTCCCGCGGTCCCTCCCCAACCAGCCACACCTGGGACGGTGCCGCGGCTCGAAGGGCATCTGTGGAGTGAGCAGGGTCCCTCTGGCAGTTGGGGTCCCTCGGCCTGGCCTGTGAGGATCGGGCCCAAACCGGCTCTCTGACATCCCCTGCAGGGTCCGGGAGTACGAGAGGACACTCTGCAAAGTTGCTGTCACTCATCAGCTTCTGTGTTGAGCGTCTGCTCCCTGGTGGTCAGTGCACATCATACCTACTGACCAGTCAGCCAGTCGGCCAGTTGCTTAGCCTTTTATATATATAGATGTTAAACTAGAGTTAGAGATGACACATATAATCTTAATAGTCCTACTTTTGAGCATTTGCTCAATGAAAATTGTAGCTCAGGCCACAGGATAACCAGTCTTGAAAAATCTTCTCTGTGCATAGGAACAACCATATTTTATTCTATGTCCTCTTCATGAAAAGAGAAATAGTGTAAATATAAATCAGTGTCCTCTCAATTTCAATAAACCATAAGATACGACTCTTTTCACCTACAGCAAAATGTGGAAAGTATTATTGAAGAAGTTAAAAATATATGCAGTGTTCTGGGATGTGTGGAGACCAAGCAAATTACAGATGCCGTAAATAAACTAAATCTAATTCTTCAGAGAAAATCAGAGGTAAATATATTCATCTATTACACAGCAATTATTTTAAACCTGAGTTCAATAATTAATTAAGGAGAGTGAAAGACTGGACTAACTACCTGTGTGTGTGTGTGTGTGTGTGTGTGTGCGCGCACGCACGCGCGTGCAAGTATATTTCCATCATTTGGGAACCATCAAAAAACTCTATTATACAAAGGGATTTAATTAAATTAAAAGAAATCTCTTACACCTTTGAAGTTTGTAGTAACAATATAACTTCCAAGTGAGACTGAAATCAATCCTACAATGAATATGCTTATGTGATAATATTTACAGGCCAGTATTTGTACAGACTGTTAATGGCTCTCACATGCACCAGTATATACAGGCATGAGTGTCCATGCATGCATGGTTAAGCACTTATGTAGAAAAGATGTCAGTTTTTGTGACATGTTTTGCTTAATTTGCAATCCACACTGCTTCTATGATCCGACAACCTGCAATGATTTCCTGGCTTTTTTCAGTTAAAAAATGAATATTACATGATTTCCCTTTTTAAGCTCAAAAATCTGATGTGTGATTATTACCCAAGGAAACGAATAGGAAATCTGGTTTGATGAATTCAATCTTATTATTAGTTTAGCAAGGGATTAAGCAGAAAGATAATGCTGAGTATGATGATTATGATAATAAAAATAGTAAGTCCCTATAGTACATTGCAATAATAAAATAGTTTCACTAAAATATTATTTAACTTAGGTTTTATTTTATTGCAGTTCTTCCTCATAGCAATGCTGCAGAGTAGGTATTTTAATGCTCATTTCATTATTAAAATGAAAAGCCTACATGGCTTGTGTATGGATCATTAATAAGGATTTGAACCCAGGCCTCTATACACATTCCAGTGTATGGGAAATTTCTTAAGAGAAAGATTACAGTGGGGCCTTGACTTACGAGTGTTCTGACTAATGAGTTTTTTGAGCACTTTCTAAATCAATGTTTGAAATTTCAAGGCTGGCTTATTTAATGTAATACAATCCATGCTGCTCCTTCCCATGCAATTAAGGATGCAAGTACAGTGGGGCCTTGACTTACGAGTTTAATTCGTTCCGAGACCGAGCTCGTTAAGGAGCTCATTAAGGAGCTTGTGAACTCAAATTACTCTATCAACTCAATACAAAAAATCAACCGAGAGACAGCTGGTGTTTCAAAAAACTCGTTAGTCGGGAAACTCGTAAGTCAAGGCCCCACTGTACTTGCATCCTTAATTGCATGGGAAGGAGCAGCATGGATTGTATTACATTAAATAAGCCAGCCTTGAAATTTCAAACATTGATTTAGAAAGTGGGCAATTCTATTAATATATATAAATAATTGTGCTTATTGTTTCAAATAGGTAAACTGTGAAAAAAATCAGTAATGTCTTAAAGTTGGACTTTCTATGTTTTATTTTAATTAGAAGATTTTTGTGATTAGCTAGTAGTAATGAATATATACATCTACGTACCTTATTTGCATGCATGTAGACGAAAAATGATGACCATAAGATTTACAAGATAAACGTTTTTCAAAAACTAAAAACACAAAGCAATGAAGAAATCAAAATTTAAACACTATAACCAATAAATCCCAAACTTCAATGTCTCAGATAGACATGCACTTATTTCCTTAAATGTTACTTAGTTTGGAAATATCTACTCTTACACTTTCCAATTATAGAAGAAAATGAAGCCAAAATTCTCCTTCAAGGAGAAATTGAGTATTTCCTAGTCTCCAAAATTGTTTGTGTGTAGATATTGAGATTCATGGTTTTCACAAATGATAGCAAAGTAAGAAATCTGATGTGAGTACATATAATCTGGTCATATTTTTCTATTCTGTGTCAGAGTGAGAAAATTGTACTATAATCTTGAAAAACCTATCACCAATATGTTTTGAAAATAAATACTGTGATAAACTATAACTTAGGAATTATATAATGTTAAAAGAAATTTCCAATAATAGCCAAAGTTAATCAGGATAACAAGGTAGTGAAAATTTACTTTCAACAAACAATTAGTTTCTCTTAAACTATCATGTATTGGGGGCATTTTGAACACCTAAAATGGATAACAAAATACAAAGATCTTAGTGTTATACAAACATGACTTGAATTCAAGATCTAACACCTTGTAGCTGAATATCCTGTGGAAAATTAATTCATTTGTCTGATGTTTAGTTTTAATCATCTCTAAAACAGAAAAATAAAACAGAATTTGTAGAGTTCTTGTGAATATTAAAAATAATGTTAATAATTTGTTATGATATTATCTAAGTATTAGAAATAATGTTAATAATTAAATTAATGTAGAATAATCATCCAGAAGATAGTGAGAGTCATTATTATTATTGGAGGGAGCGGGGATGGTGCTGGCGAAAGTTTTTGAGAATCTTCCCCATGTGGCCAAGATGGTGTTCATTCACACAAGCACCACTTAAGTCCCCATTACCTCAGGGCCATCGATTACAGCCAGCCTCATGACAAGTGTGAGCCTCTGCCAGAGGAGGAGACCAGATGCATGAATGTGAACACGTGTCTTCCCATCTGTTAAGACCACTTGGTTGTTCATCCATTTGTATGTCCAGCTCTCAGTAAATCAGCTGAAACGAACAACTGATCAAAGAATGAGGAAAATCTAATTTTAGCAGGAAGCATTTCAAATGATGTTACAGTATTACTAGATAAAAAGCTTTACCTTTAAAACATTCATTTTCTGAAACTTCCTAAACACTACAAATGACAATTTTCTCTGAAATATCAAACTCTCAATATATCTGAAACCAAAATTATCCTTCAAGGAAAAATTGAGTATTTCCTAGGAAAACTATAAACAACTATAATTCTCAAGGAAAGCTCATTCACATTTCACTTTCTTATGTACTTTTTGAGCACTAAATTCTATGTGATTACTCATGCATAGAAATGAAGAAAAGAGTTGACATCAGTTTTATTTCAAATATGTCACTGACCAACATCAACAGTTTGATATCCCCCAATAAACAGATTCTACTTACTTTAGGCACACTCTAAAAGTCTCCTTATTCTATATCACCTTCATTCGGATTTTTTGTTCATCTCTTTTCCCATTCTACCTTAACTCTGAACCCACCTACATAAGAATATTGGCACAAATAGTAAGCACATTGTTACAGAATGTGTGTGTTAACCAACTGCAGTTTACAATGCCAAAGCAGTCCATCTATCCTGCCACCATGAGCCAAGGTTAAGGAAATACTGACTCAGATGAGCCTTCTGCCAACTAAGTCAAACTTGAGAAGCTTTCTTTTCTCGTGGCTACACTTTTTGGTCAACTTGCAAGAGACTATTTTCCTGTCACTCAGGGAAATAATTAGGTTTTTATTAAATGTGAGTTTGGGCAGGTTGAAGAATCATATCACAAAGGCAGGTGTACTCTAGTTCACGCTCCCACTCAGCACTGGAAACAATTTTCCATCTGTCAAAATTATATTCCAGAATCCCACGTAATATATTTTCACTAAATGCTCATATAATAAATGAACCATAAAGTGAAAAATATGGTCTTACACATTGTTCTGTAGGTGGATGTCATGGTGATTTTAAAATACAAGTTTTTATTTCTGAATAAATTGAATTCTAGTTAAGTCAGGCTAACATCTTCAATACTCTCACACACAGGAAAGGGATAAAGATCTTATGTGGAATTGTTAAGACTAGTGGTTGGAACTATGCTCACATGATATATTTTACCCAAGAGAAATGCTTCTGAAAAGATTCATGTGTTTAATGCTTTTAAATGAGTTGTATATAAATTTAATTACATTTTAAACATGATAGGAGTGTTTTCTGTCTATAGGAATCCTGTAGCAAGTTTCTTGATATAGGAAAACAATTATTCCCTAATTTATTTGGTTGAGAAATCAGGCTTTTCATTCATTGAATTTACTTAAAAGCAAACTTGTCAAAGCAACATTTTAAAAATTTAGTATCATTTAATATAGACCTTATTAAAAAATGAATTTGCTTTTGGACTGGAAACCTTATTTTCAGTGAATCTGTGAATCACCTTATATAGTTCATGATAATGATGTTATAACCAACAAATCATAAACCATTAAAATAATCTAGGCCTCCAACAACAATAACAAACCAGTAAATAGAGAAATAAACAAAACCACCATAAAAATGAATGTAAACATAAATGACAACAAAATAAATAATTTCAGATAGTTAGGATATGATCTCGTGTTTTACTATCATTTTTAAACTCCTAAAAAAAGAAAGAAATGAAACTACATAGCAAATCTATATGATTTTGTGCACTTTCATTCAGCCCTCTTTTGGTGCAGCCCAACACTTGCATCTGAATGACTGTTAATAATGAGAATTGAATACAGTAAACAGAGAGAATTAGAAAAGCACTTATATCAAAAGATTAGTCACTGTTGTGGAGGGGAGTTGAGCATAGGCAATGGAGAACTGTTCTAATCATACTAAAAAGGTTGAGCCTATTCTAGAAATTTCTCTTTAAAAACTCAAATTACCTAGATTGTTCATTATAAGGATTTAGGCTTTCATTAATATTATAATTTAGATTTCCTGTTTAATAAGCAACACTTATATATGACACCAAGAAACACTTTGTCTTTTTATCATTCCAGAGAAATTTCAGTGTTTAGATTTTGGATATTATTAGTTTAACTGTTTTGAAATTTGTTTTCTGAATAACAAGTATGCTTTGCACCTATTTTTCTTTTTTAGAGTTTTCATCAAAATTCAGAGACTCCAGCAAAAGGTAAAACATGCATGTACCCAAATGTGCTTTTTTTTAAAGTTATAGAACCAAAAATAAATTATTGTTTTACAAATTTTCACCCAAATATTAAGTAACACAAACACACATGAATGTTTTTTTGAGGGAAAAATGCATTGCTAAAACTATTTTTATTGATGAAGCTATTATTCAGAGAGTGAATAACTATCCACACTCTCTAAACTTTTAACCTGACTCTTTTAATATAGCAAAAAACAAGAGATCTATAAAAATGAAATGAATACTGAAAAATACCCTTATGACCATTTTAAGAAACTGTAAAATGTTCTTTAGCTAATTCTATTTTGATGTAAGAATGTCAGGAAAGTAGCAGATGTCTTTCTTCAAACTCACTAATTTCAAATTTAAAATCAAGCTCTGTTTGAAAGTCCAATCTATCATGAAAATCGGAGAATTTGGTTCTGTGACATAGTGTTCTCAGAGGCTCTGAGACGCCCATAGAACTGCAAGCCACAGGAGGACTTTGCCTTCATAGAAAATAGAGGATATACTAGTAGAGGAAAGAGTTTGGAATCAGACAGAGCTGGTTTTGCATTTCAACTCTGCCACTTTTTGACTTTATGATCTTAGATAATTAAACTCTTTGATCCTCAGTTTTCCTTATAAGCATTGAAGATGTCATCGTATTTAGTGTGCAGGGTGTGGCCAGGGTTGTTCTTGTTCGCACAGGCAGATGGTATTTAGCAAATGAACACTCAGTATCTTCAGGGAAACAGACTCACATATGCTCAGCTAGCACCTGAGGATTCAGAGGTGATGGCGAAATGCAAACATTAACCGTGACCTGTCCTCCATCCCCTTAATCATTGTCAGTAGAAAGTTATGTACAAAGTGACATCCTTTCAACTCTAATTCTCACTACTCAAAAGACATTCAATTATATTTGAAGAACTGCCACTTCACATCACAGAGGAAAATGGGATGACAGAGGGCAGGGAGAAAAAGACCTGCGCTAGTGGAAAACGTCCTGTGCCAGGCATTCATAAAACTCCGTAACACCACAGAGGGAGCGAAGGCAGTGGGGTGGCCCCCCGAACAATAATATTAACAGAAAGTCTAAGTGATAGGATGTGGAGTGAACAAGCCTGGGGTGTGCCAACATGGCGCTCCTCCTTTCTTCCTCTCTATTAGGAATGCTGGCAGAAAATCCCTTCGCTCATGTTCCTCGGAGATTGGAATGTGAGATCCCATAAAATTGCCCAGGAATCCTCTCAGAGACTTATATTCTAGGCTAACTCATCATAGATTCCAATTAATGTGTTTAATTTGCATAAGTATTGTCATTGTTTCTTTATACTAGTTCATTATACTAGAACATTTTTTCCAAAGTAAAATCAGAGGCAATAAGCATTCCTCCATCTTTCACCATCAAGCCCAGTATCTTTGGTGCTTAATACATTTCTAATGATCTTTGAAAGGCATTCTTCATGAGATGCATTTGGAAGTAAAGCATAATGCATAGACACACATCTCTGTACTGCCTGGAAGAAGCAAATTATAACCAAAGTCTGTATAGATGCCCAAAAAAGTAAAGAGCAGAGTTTGAGAAATTATTGAAATAATTATGAGTCCCCAAAATAGATGTTGGGTCTTGAGTTCATGAGATCTCTGACCTCACCTTACGATCTGTTCTGTGTGTGTGTTCATTTGCACAACTCTGGGGATTATTCACAAAAAGTATGTGCTTCTGCTTCAGAGTACCAACAGTACAAGTTGGGGACCAGGAAACAAGATGTTTCTATGAATGTGTGATTCTCTACTGCCTGTTGTTCACTAGAATCCCTGTTGGTTGGTCTCCTGAGTGCGATGATGCTCCTTTTAGGACTATTTATGCTGCTGTATTGCTCTGTCTCATTAATTGCTACTGCTGATTTCTCAGAGAATTTTAATTAGAGCTCTATCACTGAGCTTGTCCTCTCTGGGTGTTTCAATAAAGGGCACAATTTTAAAAATACAGCAAATAAGTAAAATGTGGGCATCTAATAAATTTCCTATGAGATTACAAATAACCAAGTGAGTAACAGCACCTATTGAACAACATAAAACGTTTAGTTATGGACAGAGCTACTGAGGGACAGGATGCGGGAAGAAGTCCATGCTGAAGCTGACCTCCCTCTGAGTATCAATATGCCTGTGCATTGGGACACTGCAGTGCATAGGGTGTTTGCTGACCACCATCCCTGCCCAACCCCTGGAATCTGGATCAGACCCGGTATCCAGGCTGGACCACGGCAAAGCAAGGCCACGCAGCCCATCTTCCCATCAGGCACCCCCACTATCACTTGGACACTTTCCTGGGAGAGGACTGCACTCTGACCCACCGAGTCTCCAACTTGTAAACTTGGGATTGACGTTTAATAAAATCATTCCTTCCTCCATGTCGGGAGCCACAGAAACCGACCACATCATCAGCAAACACCTGCCAGGCGGTGGAGGGAAAGCACCCGTCTCGATGCCACCATCCCGGGGCTGAATGGAAGCTGGAGGCTGTGCAGTGGTACCAAGAGGCGCCCAGATCGGGACTGAATTTCAGAACTACACCCACGCCCCCGACCCACCCCCTACCCGCCACCCAAGGGGTCATGAGCCGCAGGAGGATGGTAACAGTGTCTTCATCTGCCACATCAACCTCATCCACTATCTACATCGTGCTGCCCCGGTTCCCCTAAGAAGGTTGGCTCTGCCCCTCCCTCGACTTTGGCAGCGTTGCCTACCTGATGGCTTAGGACCAGTGGTCGGCAAACTGCGGCTCGCGAGCCACATGCAGCTCTTTGGCCCCTTGAGTGTGGCTCTTCCACAAAATGCCACATGTGGGCGCACGTACAGTGCGATTGAAACTTCGTGGCCCATGCGCAGAAGTCGGTTTTCGGCCTGGGCGAGTCTATTTTGAAGAAGTACTGTTGATATTTGGCTCTGTTGACTAATGAGTTTGCCGACCACTGGAGCCTTAGGAGCACATAGGTCCCTCAGGGACACGTGCTTGCGGTGTCTGACAAGATGTCCTGCTCCTCCCACTAAGAACGGTCCCGCCCTTTGTCTTCCTTCCATGGGCCCTGCTGTAATGACATCTCATCTCTTCAGCAGGCGCTGGCAGAAAAGAAACATCTAAACTGCAGCATTTTGATACTTATCTGACCTGGGATGGAAAAAGGAAACATTCAGATGAGATCAGACTGATTTTTTCGCCTGATTTCCTGCCATACTCTCATCTACCAGGGTCTAAGGAGGCCTGATTCAAGGACTGATTGAGGCCTGACAGATGGGACCGGGGACAGATCCCCACTGAGTGGTCTTTGGTCCTGACCAAGCTAGCCATGTGACTCCTGCCCCCTACTAGATTCTGTCGCACCAGGCAAGGGGACAGTCTCCCTATTTTGTTCATCAAGGAGGAGGAAGAGGAAACCAGACATTTCATTCTTAACATTTCACTTCATACATTCTTTTCGTTTCTTAAATCCCTTTTGTCACTTGCTTATTTGTCGAAGATTGTTTTCATTTTGATAAAAAAAATAATTTTTGAGCTTTTATATGAGTTTATTTTTCATTTAATTTTTAAAATACGACTATAGTTGAAAATTAAAATGAAATAATTGCAAGTAGTGAGTATAGTAAAGATGCTAAGCCTGCCGCCATTCATTGCCGGCATGAAATGCCGGCAGTGAATGCTAGTCCCTGGCCCATTGGAAGGTTGGCACTGAACACTAGAATGCTTTTCCCCATCCTCACAAGCTTCTCCAATGTGATGGTGCCATCTTTCCTGTCTTGGATTGAAGGCCACCAGCTCTACCCGGTACATTTCGTCAGACTCTCTTCCTTCCTCTCAGGCAAGAATTTTTCTAGCAAAGAGAGTTTATCAGGAGAAAGAAAATCATTCTCGGGAAAGCTTACCTTGCATTCCTTAATTAGGTGACTCTTTTCACCTGCCGTCATTTAACTGTTAACCCCTGTGCTTAGTCTTTTATTTTTTCTATTTTTCTTCCTTCATGACACTTCAGGTCACTTTTAGGAAAAATCAACAGATGATCAGTGATAAAAGTCCAGTAAAACTTTTTTTTGATTTTGATTAGATGTAGTAAACATCATAAATCTTTCATTTCAAGCTTATTTCATATTCCAACCATGTACTAATACCATTCTCTATTCATAGGAGGCCTAGGTATGCTATATGATTAGTGTTTCTTGAATGGTAAATGCCATAGCATAATCAAATTTATTATGAGTAACTTTTAGAAGAAAGTTGTTAGAAGAACTTATAGGCCATGTAGCAAACATGCCTCCCCCCCCCTTTTTTTGCGAATTCCAAACAATAACTTAAAACAAACATGATTGCAAATTACTGTTGATAAGAATCCCAAATTAATAATTAAAAACTCTGATTTGTGTTAGAGGCTGTGCTTCTAAAATTTCTGCAGCTGAAGATATGAAAGCTCATTGATTATCAATACTATTAGCATCTAACCCAGATATCGTATGGAGGGCCAGATGGCTAATTGGCTAATTGGCTTCAGTTGGAGGAGGGTCATTTTAATTAAATTTTATTTAAATTTTATTATAAAAAATCTCAGAGTCCTAATAGACAGCTAATGATAAATATGAGCCTTCACAGATGACCTGACTTCTATCATTTTCCCCCTAGGCTGGATAGAAAAAGTGACAACTGAACTGTCCACATCCATTTATCAGCTAATTGATGTCTATTGCAACAGCTTTTATACAGATTTCCAGCCTCTAAACACACCTGTTAGTATTTCCTGTGTGAATCCTGGGCTCCAGCCCCACCTTAGCTTCACAGTATATGCCGCTCACAATATTCCAGAGACCTGGGTGCACGGGTGAGTGGTGGTGAATTTTTCACAAAAGTATTAATTAATATTTACATAGCTTCTAATTACAGCATCATTTTTCTTGTTCTTATTTGCAAGGGCAAATATTTCATAACATTTTGAAATGTAATCAGAATATATCTATGATTATTCTTAAAATCATTTTTAAAACCTTTTTTTCTTAATTAGTATTCCTTTTCCCTCAAGTCTGCTCCCATTCTCTGTATTAAAAATAACTGCATGTGGTCAATATATTGTTATGGAAATGGAAAATGCTCATCCTATCTTGAAATTTTCTTTTTTATGTTTGAATCTAAGTGACTAATGCCAATTCACAGAAGAGAGAGAGAGAGAGAGAGAGAGAGAGAGAGAGAGCACACATACAGGAAGATGGAGATTAATTAAAAATAGAAAAAAATTCACTCTGATCCGCATCAAGTTGTGACAGTTTGTGAGATTAGTATCTTGATAACGTGGAAATTAGCCAAAGTTACTTCAGCTACAATAGAAATTAACCACAATTATGCATGGAGCACCACCAGAATTTAAGTTGATTCTATCATGTAGCATTTTCTTGAATAACACAATTAGAGTCATATTTTTTAAAAAGTCCTTACATTAAATCTATATGATCATGCTGAATAAATCAATTAAAGTTGTTAAGAAAAGAGTTTTGCCAGATAAAATATTCTTGATTGACATTTTGTCCTTGAGAACTTGGAATATGTCATCCCACTCCCTTTTGACCTGCAAGGTTTCTGCGAAGTCTGCTGATAAGCTTAGGAGATGTCTCTTTTACATTGACGGGTGGCTTTCCTCTTGCTTGACCAACTGGTTATTCACAAGTGTTTGTTCTCAGAGGCCCCAAACTGGCACCCATTCCTATTCAGCACTCAAATAGTAACCGCTCACTTGGGTAGATACCTAAAATGTCTGAGTGCTGGATGTAGTATGTTGCAGCCTTCTCTTTCCCACCCCAAGGGAAGGCTGGGAGGTGGGAGCTTCCTTCTCATTTGCTTGGATGAGGGGCTCTGCAAAATGAATACCATGGATTTTATTACTGATTTTTATGTGGTTTTGAACTTGCCTGTGGTGCAGGAGCCTCTTAACTTTTTTCTGGATTGTTCACAAAGGGAATAGATCCATGAATTACTATTGAATTGGTGTCTCCATGCGGGAAGGAGGATCTGGGCTTCCTATTCTGCCATCTTGCTAACATCACCCAACATAAATTCTTAAAGTCATTTTTAAATCAAACTTTATACAAGCAAACAGCACTTTATCATTTGACGTTTAACTATTAACAATAATTGACTTATATAGAAAATTTGTTTCTGGATAATATTCAGCTTATTGTATCAATGTTGTTTCTTTTTAGCTATAAAGCATTTTCTTTTTCCTGCTGGCTTACTTATGCTGGAAAGAAGCTGTTCCAAGTGAGAAACTACAAAAATATCCCAGTCAAAAAATTGTTCTTTTTCTTGGTCAACTGGAATGAAACGTAAGTTTAATCTTTTCTCTGGCAGGATTATTTATCTAATAAAGATCAGGGGTTTGTTTGTTTGCTTTTGTTTAAGTGAAGCATGTGATTTAAAAAAATGTTGCCAGTTAATTTAAGTCGGTGATCTGATAAATATGCTAGGGCTAATAGATAACTGATTATTCAACTCAACGGATTAAAAGTCCATTTAAAAACCTAGACAACTGTCCAATCCACATTATCTAACTGATCAAAGAAGGAAATTGAAAAAGGGAGAATTATTAATCATTCACAGACTGTGAATAAAAGAAATACCTTCTATTTGGTATATTCCAGATATAAAAAGAAGGAAGAAATTACCAAATAACAGATGTAATCTCCATTTCCCCACAAAGCCAATTGGTACAAATTTGTTTAAACAACCAAGTATTTCGACAGTAGTTATCTGTGCATTGTGTAGACTGCCATCTAATTTGGGGTGGCTGGCTCCTACTCCCTCATTTTATAGAACTTTATTGTATCAATAAGGAAAAGTACCTTCTTGACATTATCCTGGCCTGCCTCCTCTCCTCTGTTTCCCTCAGCTCAAGCCCTCATTTTAATTAGAATCTCAGGGGACTCATAAACTACCATCTATGACTCTTTTCATGGTTACTGATTCTTTTTCCTGCTGTTCCTATTACACTAATCCTTTATCATTCAGTCATTTTTCCAGGTACCCATTGCTCATTGAGAGTCAGTTTTCTTCCCATCTCAAGTAGAAAAAAATGCCTCAGTTCACTCTCCATTCAACCTTTCCGAAGGTCTGGCTTTCTTGGGAGATCATTTGATTCCCAAAACTGTACTTTCCTCATGATAATTGACACAATTTCTAGAAGTCCTATCATGCCATTAGATGACACCATTTATCTCACTCTTAGTGTTATCTCAATCAATGGAGACATGTCCTGAGACATAGCATGTGATCTTCAATTCTTACCCACTCCATGGTTGTTCCATCCCAAAGCAAACCTTCCTTATTCTAGGACTGTGATACCCTGTCTCGCCTGCTTTGGTTAAGTTCTTAATTACTTGGACCAAATACCTGACCTTCAATTATAAAATCCTATTCCATTGCAGAGTCACTTCTGCTTGTAACATTCTTTAGTAATTTCCAGTTCCTATAAGATAAAGTACAAGTCATTTAGCCTACCACACCAGGCCCTCTGCGGTTTTGCCCTGCCTATCTCTGAATCTTTATCTCTGGAGTTAGCCCTACTCTTGCGCCTTTAACCCAGCCACTCTCTGTATTTGATTTACTTACCCTAAAGATGAACTGAGAAATTTCACCTCTGCTAAGGGTCCTTCATTTGCCCCCACTGTCCTTGAGAACACCTAATTGTCTTTCAAGACACTTTTCTATCTTCTCTATAAATCCTTTCCTGTATTATTCAAAAGAGTGGCCACTTTTTTTATTTGTCAATTAGTCAAACCTCAAACTACTCCTTTATGGTCCTCTACTAAATGTATTTGTCTATATAGCTGTTTGTTTCTGCTAAATCATAAAAAGACGTTTTTTTACTTTTGTTTTTTAATTTTATTTTAAAATTTGTTATTGTATCTTTAACAGCACCAGACAGAATAAGGGGCCAGTAAGTGTTGCTGGGCAAATGAATGAATTTTGTATAATAAGTGACTCCTCAAAAATCTTATCAAGTTCAATTACTAAAATTAGTCTTCTTAACTAATCAAAACTTATTACTAGTTGTTTCAAAAATCAGATTCATTTTCATATGATAGCTATGTTCCATCATTTAAGTTATTTAAGAGAAAAATCTAATTCTAAAGTCAATTTCAAAGAAAAAATCAAAATAAATTAAAGATAATTAGTGTTGTTGGAATAAGTACTTGGATATATTTTTCTTCTCTTCCTTCCAGACCGCACAAATGTTCTATTTCCTGGGAGAATTTATTTGATTTCCCTAGTAGTTAGTTACTTCAACCCAAAATTATTTTTTATATAATTTTCATAAAAATATTTATTTACCATTTTCTAGTGCCTGTAGCATTCTTCATATATTGCATTAACATGCGCCATTATACTATAATCAATTGTATATTTCATTATTGTACTGTAAATCTACAGACAGAAACTATATTGTTTAATAATATGCGGCATAGATTTTTGACCACCTATTATACTTTAATTATCATAGTATAACCCCTAAATATATCATCTTATCTCAACTTAACAACAAAAATATATAGCAGGTATTGTCATCTCCATTTTACAGATCAGCATCTGTAAAATGTTTACGAAGATTGATTAACTTGCCCCAAGATCCACAATCAATAAATGGCACAACAACCCACTCTGTCTCCAAAGCTAATGTTTTACTGTGATTTCCAAACTGTTTCTTACAATATATAAAATCTTAGGCAGAGTATTTATATTCTAAAATAGTTATCATATCTTAAGTTAAAAACAAGCCTGGCCAGCTTGACCCAGTGAATAAGCGTAGACCTATAAATCGGGAAGTCATGGTTCAATTCCAGGTCAGGGCATATGCCCCGGTTGTAGGCTCTATCCCCAGTGTAGGGCATGCAGGAGGTGGCAGATCAATGATTCTCTCTTATCATTGATGTCAATATATATATATATATATCCCTTCCTCTCTGAAATAAATAAAAACATATTTTAAAAAAACTCTACTCCAAAAATTTTCAACCTTTTTTATCTCATGGCACCCAGCACATGTAAACTAAAATTCTGTGGTACACCAAAAATTACATTACAATTTTTGACAATTTGACTATATATATTTTGATTGATTTACAAAAAGTAATAATAATGGTGATTTCCTACCCTTTTATTTTCCAAATTGACTTTTTTAAAAATCAGGTGTCTATATGTGTATACAAGAATTTCTGGTACAAAGAATTAACCAATCAGATGCAACCTTATTATGCCACATAACCAATAAGATGCAACTCTATTATATGACATATATATGCTTCAAGATAGGGCATTCACATTGTACAGCTATTGTTATGTTGGCTGTTATCATATTTTTTTTATTTGACTATCTAAAGGAAAAGAGATCAGTGCCCCAGACTAAAGAGTCAGGCATTGCATGTTTTATTTATTTTATTTAAATATATTTTATTGATTTTTTACAGAGAGGAAGGGAGAGGGATAGAGAGTTAGAAACATCGATGCGAGAGGAACATTGATCAGCTGCCTCCTGCACACTCCCTACTGGGGATGTGCCCACAACCAAGGTACATGCCCTTGACCAGAATCGAACCTGGGACCCTTGAGTCCACAGGCTGATGCTCTATCCACTGAGCCAAACCAGTTAGGGCAGCATTGCATGTTTTAAAAATTGTTATGGCACACTGATTGAAAATTGCTGCTCTACTTCAATCTCCCTCCAACAGCCACCACCCCATCCTTTTTCTCTGCTTTGTAGTAAAACCCTTCCAAAGAGTTGTCTATATTCACTTTCTTCAATTTTATTCTCTGCTCTAAAACATATTCCAATCAGGCTTTCATCACCTTTGCTCATCTGAAATTGCCCATTAGAGTCACCAGTGATCTGTATAGTTAAATCTAATGTTTATTTCTCAGTCTTCATCTTACACCATCTATTAGGAATAGTTGTCATTGTTGATTTCACCCTCCATATTTAAATATGCTCTACACCTGTCTCCTGCATTCTTTTAGCTTTCTTCCTTCCTCATTAGATATACATTCTCCATCTCCTTTTCTTCTCCCAGACACTGTGCTAATGTCTTAGCCCTTGAGCCTCTTCCCTGTTGTTACTATTCTCACTCCTTTAATTTGCTCTTATAGTCAGATGGCTTTAAATGCCGTCTATATACCAACAACTTCCAAATTTATATCACTAACCCAGGCATCAGTCACAAACTCCACATTTACACATGCAACATGTATACGCCTGAACTCTCCATCTTAGGCTGATGCTTTGTCCACCCATAGATGGCCACTGTGGGTGATCATTTTCAGTTCCAGTTGTTCAGGTCAAAGCCTTAACCTCAATCTCCTACTCTCAGACACTGTGCCCAGGAACTCCTATTGGCTCACTTCTCAAAACGTTTCCAGGAAATTACTCCTCATCATTTTCCTTGGTCTAGACCACCGTCATCTCTCCCCTCTATTACCACAGTAGCCTAATAATGGTCTCCCTGCTTCCCTTGTACCTTTATAATCTCTTTCCACATAGCAGCTAAAGTGACCTTTTCTAAAATGTAAGTCAGACCATGTTTAAAAATCCTGAATTGACTTCCTGTTTCATTCAGACAGAAGTCAAAGTCCTTACAATGCTCTATTGTCATATATCAGCATTAAAGGAGAGTTCTAAAATATGTGACTTTTTAAATCTCCCATTTCACTATTAAAAACTTACTGGGATTGTTGGAAAAGTATCTCTCATAGAAGAAAAATTATTTAAGGAAAATTTAATGTTCACTCATTTTTCTGTAGTAGAGTAAGGAAAATATATGCTTAAAACTCAAGGTTGGTGCCAGCAGCTTGGATAAAAGGAAGCAATCTGACTTCACTTATCGAATTGCCTCTTAAAGTATTTTTCTTCCTTTTTTTGTCTAAAAGTTCATTCCTTTGATTTTTCAATAGCCGTGTAGAAGTTGCAAGAAAAGATTTCCCAGTGAATGTGAGATTATTCTGGCTTTAAAAATTCATACGTATTCAAGAAATAAATAACTATTTAGAAAGCATGTATTCTTGCCCCAGAAGAATTTATTTTCATTAATAAAAAATGACAGAATGGAGATTGGCAGTAACTATCCACTGTAACCTATCGAATTTTTGTCATTTTTAATATAAAAAGCTCATTAAAATGTGAAGTTAAACATGAAGAAGCCAGACTCAATAGGAAAAAAAGAACATTCTAGCTTATCTGTAGAATAAAGTCAATTTATAGCTTCCATTCTTACACAGACATATGAAACCTGAATAGAAAGCCAATTACAGGTAAAAGAGAGAACATTCAGGAAATTGC